CTATAAGAATTGACGGTTATCGGCAGTACTTTCCTCATGCTATGACAGCAACTGTATTTACTTTGTGATCTGCTGTGTCATTGACACAGCTGATTACGTGGTAAAAGGCTGTTGTGATTGGCCTTATACCTCACCACGTGAACAGCTGTGTCCGTAGGACACAGTGATCACAGAGATCACTGGATGCACGCCGATGGGGAACTGGACCACCACGCTGTAGCTGGCATTCGGCTATAGTGCAGACAGCAAGAGGTTAAGGGTTCGTCTACAAAACCCTAGTGTCCACCTACACTAGGGTTTGCAGCTGCTCAGGGTTGTACACATACCTCAATGATTTGCTTTACGGCAGAAAGTTAATGGCATGTCACATTTGGCGGCTGGTACTGCCACCGAACACAACTCCTTCAAGTGAATAGGGCCTTTATGCAACTGCCCTGCAACCGCACGCATTGCAAGCATTTTTAAAGGACACGTTCACCTTTATACAAATAATTAGTGCACATTTTTTCGCAGGTAAAAAAAATGTGCATTTACTAATTTTTTGTTGCAGGAGCCTGTAAAGCATTGCATCTCCTGCAGACCTGCCAGTATATCTCCTTGCCGTATGGGATGTACGAGCAAACAGGTATACTGACAGGAAGATTCAATTAACTACCACGGCGCTCCACAGGGCCCTGGTAGTTCATTGAGAACTACAAGGGATTTGTAGTTTCTCATTCACAGAACACTTTTTTTTTTAATTTCACAGTAGCAAGGGGGGAGAAGATCCCCCACTAGATGTCAAAGCAGTGGAGCGGGGGCCAGTGCATTCATAACATGTTATATGTTACACCCTGAATATGGGTTAACCACATAACATGTTATGAAAAGTGAACTTATCCTTTAAGGTTAAAATGACATATCACCTCCTCACCATCTTTTAACCACCCTCTCAAAAGCAAACTACCACATATTGCTTTTCAGAGAAATAGCAGTAATAGCCACACATCTGATCGAGCCCTTAGTCCCTTTTCATCTTTACCTGTTTGGTTATATTGTCTTGACAAATGAAAAAAAAACACACTCTAAATTATTAAAAAAGGAACACAATGGTAACTACAGTGGATATAAAAAGTCTACACACCCCTGTTAAAATGTTAGGTTTCTGTGGTGTAAAAAAAATGAGACAAAGATAAATAATTTCAGAACTTTCTCCCCCTTTAATGTGACCTATAAAACTGTACAACTCAATTGAAAAACAAACTGAATTTTTTTTATGGGGAGGGGGGGGGGGGGGGAGTAAACCTAAAAAAAAAACAAAATAATGTGGTTGCATAAGTGTGCACACCCTCTTATAACTGGGGATGTAGCTAGCTGTGTTCAGAATTACGCAAGCACATTCAAAATCATGTTAAATAGGAGTCAGTACACACCTGCCAGCATTTAAAGTGCCTCTGATTAACCCCAAATAAAGTTCAGCTGTTCTAGTAGGTCTTTCCTGACATTTTATTAGTCACATCCTACAGCAAAAGCCATGGTCCGCACAGAGCTTCCAAAGCATCAGAGGGATCTCATTGGTAAAAGGTATCAGTCAGGAGAAAGGTACAAAAAAGTTTCCAAGGCATTAGATATACCATGGAACACAGTGAAGACACTCATCATCAAGTGGAGAAAAATATGACGCAACAGTGACATTACCAAGAACTGGTCATCCCTCCAAATTTGATGAAAAGACAAGCAGAAAACTTGTCTGGGAGGCTGCCAAGAGGCTTACAGCAACATTAGAGAAGCTGCAGGAATATCTGGCAAGTACTGGCTGTGTGGTACATGTGACAACAATCTTCTGTATTCTTCATATGTCTGAACTATGGGGTAGACTGGCAAGACCGAAGCCTTTTCTTATGAAGAAAAACATCCAAGCTCGGCTAAATTTTGCAAAAAACACATCTGAAGTCTCCCATGTGGGAAAAAGCATGTGGGAAAATGTGTTATGGTCAGATGAACACCATACTAAGGTTGAACTTTTTGGCCATAATTCCATAAAAAATATGCTTTGCTACAAAGTGCAAAAACAACACTGCATACATCCAAATCACAAAAAGAACGAAGATTAAAGTTTTGCAATACCATAGCCCACAGTGAAGATGGTGGGTGGCAGCATCAATGCATTGCAAGGGCTGTTTTTTCTTCAGCTGGAACTGGGGCATTAGTCAAGCTAGAGGGAATTATGAACAGTTCCAAATACCAGTCAATATTGGCACAAAACCTTCAAGCTTCTGCTACAAAGCTGAACATGAAGAGACCCTCTGGAACTTCATCTTTCAGCATGACGACCCAAAGCATACATCCAAATCAACAAAGGAATGGCTTCACCAGACGAAGATTAAAGTTTTGCAATAGCCTAGCCAGAGCCCAGACCTGAAACTGATTGAAAATCTGTGGGGTGATCTGAAGAGGGCTGTACACAGAAGATGCCCTCGCCATCTGACAGATTTGGAGTGTTTTTGCAAGGAAGAGTGGGCAAATATTGCAAAGTCAAGATGTGCCATGTTAGAAACTCATACCCAAAAAGACTGAATGGTGTAATAAAATCAAAAGGTGCTTCAACAAAGTATTAGTTTAAGGGTGTGCACACTTATGCAACCATATTATTTTTTAGTTTTTATATTTTTACTTCCCTTCACGATTTAAAAGATCAGTTTGTTGTTCAAAAGGTGCTTCAACTGAGTTGTACAGTTTATAGGTTACATTAAAGGTGGAAAAAGTTCTGAAGTGATCTTGGTCTCATTTTTTTACATCACAAAAACCTGACATTTTAACAGGGGTGTGTAGACTTTTTATATGCACTGTACCCAGTGATGTCCCTAGGGTTGGTGTCACCCGGTGCGGTAACACTTGGTGACGCCCGTGTGTCACCCCGTATAGGTTGCATGCCGACGATCCCCACAGATTGCATCGGATCTGCGGATTGAGCGTAATGGATCGGACTCCGATCCATTATGCTCAATCCGCAGATCTGATCCATCCTGCGGGGATCGTCGGCATGCAACCTATACGGGGTGACACCGGACCCGCTCCAAGAAAAGGTAAGTTGTAAAGAAAGCTGACGATCCCCACAGGATGGATCGGATCCATCCTGCGGGGATCGTTGGCTTGCTTTATAACTTACCTTTTTGTGTGGAGCGGGTCCGGTGTCACCCCGTACAGTCGGTGTCACCCTGTGCGGACCGCACCCGCCTCAGGGACGCCACTGACTGTACCTTTAACTTGGTTGTAATTACTACCAGGAAATAGTCACAAGAATGTTTAGTGGTAAATTAACTCAAAGTATTGGTACTGCTTAGAATAAATGGTGGTTTGAGCATAGAATAACGCACAGAAGGTAGGTTTAGACACAGTCCACTAGACAGGTAAATCACTATGACAAGGTTCTGTACTACTGGACTGGAATAAACTCATGCAATAAACAGTGCATATCAGCACTAACTGCAATGTGAATAATAATTCCATAACTAGTCTAGGAGTGCACTCCAGGAGAATGGCTAGGATCTGGCGCAATGTCCCCTGAGAGGTACCTCTCAGCAATAGGTGAAGGCCTCTGTGTAGCAGCTGTAAAGGGGTGGTCTTTACTCCTAACTCTTCAGCCAGCTAGTATTGTGCCCAGTGCACGAGAAGAGTTCCAGTCAAGCCTGGGTTCAACAATAGGTCTACTAAGTGGCTGTATGGTCAGTTCCTAAAGGACTCAGTCTCTCTCTCTAGCAGCAGATAGTAAATCCCCACAGCAGCAGCTCACTGGTTCCAATGATATTTCAGCTCACCATCTGGTCACACACAGCAATTAATCCACTCTCTGCACTCAGATGACTCCGGTTGTTGGCACACCTATACTCAGCACTCCGGATCCAGCTCAGGCCACCATTGTGCAGCAGTGACGATGCACATTGGACAGCGATGTGTGTTCTCCGGTCTCCCTCACAGCAAGAGGAAGCTGTGTCCTGTACAGCCTTTGAAAATGCAGCTCTTTCCTCTCCTTCTGGCAATCTCCCACTTGGAAATGTAGTACAAAAGTTCTAGATTACAGTAGAGTCGCTTTCCTTTGGACTACAGTTCCCACAGTGCATTGCAGCCTGACTCAGTCTATTGAACTCTTTTTGCCCCTCATCTCCCTCTTCTGGCTGATATACCTGTTAATCAGTTCAGCACCACAGGGCAGTAAAAGCAGCTGCAGCCAGTGTTTCTCTCACTCCCCATTCTTAGCCAAGCATCTGGCTATAAAGAATTGTGTTATATCTTCCAACATTTGGTAAATTACTTCAGCTCTGTATAATCATGACAGGTGGAGAAGAAAACATTTTTTTAAATGGATGTAATTAGCCAGAAATTATTATTTTTTTTTTTTTTACATAAAACTAGTCATAGTTTGCCAGAACAGCAACACACCTACTTTCTAAAGGCTCTATGGTTATTGAGTACTAATCAGGCTTTTGCTTCCAAACAAAGACTCATTTGGTATTCAAGCATCCACCCAAAAACATGGATGGAACAACAGGATCCCTATAATGTAAGATACTTAATATCTGTAAGATACATAGTATCAAGTCATTGTCGCTGCAAGTAATATTACATAATTGCAGCCTTGCACAAGGATCTTAAACTCATTACATAAAGTTGATGGCCTTTTGGCTGAGATCAAGTGTAGTATATCTTCTTCTTGTTTTTTGGGAACAGAACACTGGTCCCTTTTCCTATTTAAGGAGGATGGTTAGTAATTTCTGATGTATTAACCTCCCTAGCGGTCTGATTATGTCCATATTTCTGTGCCGAATGACGAATTTCCCCACGAATCATTATCACTCAATTCTGCAAGTGGTTCCGATTTACTATCGCTGTTCTCTAGCTGGTCTAAAACCGCTTTTGACCTAAAAGGGATGCTTTTTGGATACCATGGACGTTTCTCAGTTTCCAGGCAGAAAGAACAGTAAAGATGTAGGCAGGACACAGGACAAAGCACTAGGGACCAAATGTATGTGAAATGGTTTGATACAGTAATATTTTACTATGTTATTTTAGTGTATTTAGTGAATGTCACTTTTTGGCTTTTTCAAATTTCCTGCCGTTCCGTCCCACATACGTCCTGACGTCGCAGGGGACAGAACCCAGAAGACAGATGCTGGCATCGGTCGGAGGACATTGCCGGGGACACTGCAGGGGGGACATTGCGGGAGCACAGGACAAGGTAAGAGAAGAACTGATCCCGGAGCAGTGCCGCATGGAAAGCCCGAGTGTAGCTCAGGGTTACCGCTTGTGGTACTGAAACTTTACCCCGAGCTACACTCGGGAATACCGCCAGGGAGGTTAAGGATGGTGGGAGTAGGGACTGTGCAAGGATTTCTGTCTACACAGGCAAGGTGCATTTTGAAAATTTGAGTTGTGCCTCTAAAGGGCAGCATATAATGAGGGGGTGAGGTTATGAATGAGCCCTTCATTTTTTTTTTTTTTTTTACAATTTTTTAAAATTATTTTTCACAATCTTGTAATTATTCTTTTTTTTTTGCACAACGCTGTTGGGGGGGGGGGGGGGCTATGGTGAACCACCAGGAATCTGAACAGACCCCTGATGTCTCACGTTTAAGACAGACAAATGGATTGAGGACATCGATTCATCAGTCCCTTTCACTGCAGCCTCAGCTGCACTGGACGGTGAATGAATAGGATGTGCTCTGAGGCTTCCTGTTCATTCATAAACTGAGTAATGGACACAGTGCATGATCGGTATCAATTGCTCATTGTGTGCATTCAGGAAAGGAAGGGGTCAAAGCATAGGAACCACTGTAGCCCACTGACACATATGTGTGGGGTGTGGATATTAAGGCTTGGTTTACATATGTGCGGGTTGGGAATGTGTGCATAAATGTATGTTTTCCTAAGCAGCACAGAAATGTGTTTCTCTTTAGCAAATACGAGGGGGTGCCAATAATTCTTGCAAATATGCATTGTGCCTCAACATTTAAAAAAAAAAAAAAAAAAAAAAAAAAGGCTTGGGACTTCTTTCCGTTTCTTGCAGGTACGAAGTGTGACAATTGAATTACCGAGGGGACAGGTAATAACAACGTAATAACGTGTTAGGATAGATAGCGGGGAAGGGGTTGGGAAATATGTCATTTACTGGCCTTTTTCCTTTTCTGAATGAACAAAGTTAGTGATCTGTACCGATTCATAAATGAAGCGCAGTAAACTGTTTACTATGCTTTGTGAATGAATGGGAAACTGTACAGAGCTATTCTTCTCCATTCATTCAGCGCAGCTGAAGCTGCAGAGGAGGAGATTGAGTACTGTGTCCTCAATCCCCTTTCTCTGTCTGAAAGGTGAAACATCAGTGGCCTGTTTATTTCATATTTCACCAAAGCCCCCCAACAGGGCTCCTAAAAAACTTTAAAAGATTAACAATAATAAAAAAAAAAATAAAACTGAAAAAAAATAAAATAAAATTAAAAAAAAATAAAATTAACAAAAATAAAAAAACTGCCACCAGTGGAGGAACTACCAGGGTCACAAAGGATGCACTTGTGACTGGGCCCTGGTGTTCTGGCGCCATGGGGGGAAGGGGGGGCCCCAAGACCACAGAAAGGGGGCCTAGTGAAGAACATATGAATGGAAGTGTACAATCCAAACGTTCCTACGTTAAAAATGGCTGTGTGTATAAGTGGGTGCTGCAGCGACCGTCGGCTGGAACTGCACAGAATCGGCAAGGGAGAATGTCACCAGCACACAGAGGATCACCTATATGGGTCCAAACGTTTTAATGAACGATCACATAGTTACAGCAAGGTAACATTTCAGAGTCTCGCAGGATCCCTTCATCAGGTCACATGCCTGATCAAGGGGTCCTGTGAGACTCCAAAACATTCTCCCTTGCTGAACATGTGAAAGCATCACGTTGCAAGACTGTAATAAAGAATCCTGCAATGGGAGTAAAGGGCCTCTGTTTTCATGCACTGCCTTGGGTTCCCATTGAATTCTGTAGGGCCAAAAACTATCTGCTGTACTTTTTCCCAAGACACACAGGTGTGAGGGGCCCCACAGACAGTAATGTCAGTCCTATGGTGGCACAGTTGTAGAGGCACGCAGGAGCCCCGTGCAGAGCCATCCTGAGAATAGTAGTAGCAGTAATTGTAGTATAAGTAGTTGTGTTAGTAGTAGTGGATAGTAGTAGTAGTAGCAGCAATGGTAGTAACAGTATTGATCGTAGTAATAGTAGTGACAATAGTAGTAAGTAGTGTAGTAGTAATGGTAGTAATAGTGATTGTAGTAATAGTGATAATAATAGTAGTAATAGTAGTGGCAGTAGTAGTTATAACAGTAGTGAAAGTGGTAAAAGTAGTGATAGTGTTATTAGTAGTGGTAGTAGTAGTGATGGTAGTAACAGTAGTGATAGTGGTATAGTGATAGTAATAGTAAGTATTAGTAGTGATAATGTCAGTAGTGATAGTAGTGGTAGTATAGTGATAGTGATAATAGTAGTAGTAATGGTAGTAGTAGTAATGGTAGTAACAGTCGTCATAGTGGTAGTAGGAGTGATAGTAGTTGTAATGATAGTAGTATAGTGATAGTGGTAATAGCAGTGGTAGTAGTAGTGATGGTAGTAACAGTAGTGATAATGTTAGTAGTGATAGTAGTGGTAGTATAGTGATAGTGTTAGTTAGTAGTGGTAGTAATGGTAGTGATAATAGTAGTGATAGTATAGTGATAATAGTAGTGATAATGTTAGTAGTAATAGTGATAATATTAGTGATAATATAGTGTTCGTGGTCACAGTAGTAATAGTGACAATGTCAGTGAAGTGTTAGTATAGTGTTAGTAGTGATAGTAGTAGTAGTAATGGTATAGTGATAGTGATAGTATAGTGATAGTAGTGGTAGTATAATGAGTGATAGTAGTAGTGATAGTAGGGATAGTATAGTGATAGTAGTAGTAATGGTAGTGATAGTATAGTGATAGTAGTGGTAGTAGTATAATGAGTGATAGTAGTAGTGATAGTAGTGATAGTAGGGATAGTAGTAGTGATAGTAGTAGTGATAGTAGGGATAGTATAGTGATAGTATAGTAGTAGTATAGTATAGTGTAGTAGTAATAGTATATAGTATAGTGATAGTAGTAGTGATAGTATAGTATAGTAGTAATGGTAGGGATAGTATAGTGATAGTAGTAGTGATAGTAGGGATAGTATAGTGATAGTAGTAGTAATGGTAGGGATAGTATAGTGATAGTAGTAGTATATTAGTGCAGAACACTGTACCTTTAATTTAAATGCCCTTGGAGGATGAGGAAGGAGAAGGAGAGGATGAGAATGAAGGAGAAGGAGAAGATGAGAAGAAAGGAGAAGGATGAAGGAGAAGGATGAGAAGAAGGAGAAGGATGAGAAGAGAGGAGAAGAATGAGAAGAAGGAGAAGATGAGAATGAAGGAGAAGAAGAGAGAAGGAGAAGGAGAAAGCGATGAGAAGGAGAAGGATGAGAAGAAGGAGAAGGAGAAGGATGAGAAGAAGGAGAAGGAGAAGGATGAGAAGAAGGAGAAGGAGAAGGATGAGAAGAAGGAGAAGGATGAGAAGAAGGAGAATGAGATGAGAAGGAGAAGGATGAGAAGAGGAGAAGGAGAAGGATGAGAAGAGGAGAAGGATGAGGATGAGAAGAAGAAGAGAAGAAGAAAGAGGAGGAGAAGGAGAAGGAAGGAGAAGGGAAGAAGGATGAGAAGACGGGAGAAGGAAGAAGAAGAAGAAGAAGGATGAGAAGAAGGAGAAGGATGAGAAGAAGGAGAAGGATGAGAAGAAGAAGAAAAGAAGGAGAAGAGAAGAAGAAGAAGGATGAGAAGAAGGAGAAGGATGAGAAGAAGAAGAAGGATGAAGAGAAGGAGAAGGATGAGAAGAAGAGAGAATGAGAGAAGAAGAGGATGAGAAAGATGAGAAGAAGAAGGATGAGAAGAAGGAGAAGGATCCAAGGTGGGAATAAAATGCAGAAGAGAGAGAGAAGGCAGAAAGGGCTTTCTTATGAAGCGAGAGCTCTGCAGATACACTTAGCGGAGCTCTGCAGATACACTTTTTGCCGGCTTGGAATTCTTCTTATATTCATCCATCCTACTTCTTCTTCTTCTTCTTCATCCTCATCCTCATCCTCTATCTTCTTCTGAGAGGAGGAGAGGATGAAGAAAGAAGAGAAGAGCTTGGAATTCTCTTCTTATTTTCATCTACTTCTTCTTCTTCTTCTTCTTTCTTCTCATCCTCATTTCTTCTTCTTCTGAGGATGAGGATGAGAGAAGAAGAGAAAAAGAAGTAGGATGAAAATAAATAAGAATTCCAAGCCGGCAAAAAGTGTATCTGCAGAGCTCCGCTAAGTGTATCTGCAGAGCTCCGCTATTTCTGACAGTTCTCTGACATTCACTCCATACAGCGGTTGATGTCAGAGAACTGTCAGAAACTTAGAGGAGCTCTGCAGATACACTTTTTGCCGGCTTGGAATTCTTCTTATTTTCATCCTACTTCTTCTTCTTCTTCTTCTTTCATCCTCAAGAAGAAGAAGAAGAAGAAGAAAGAAGAAGAAGAAGAATGAAGAAGAAGAAGAAGAGAAGAAAAAGAAGAAGAAGAATGAAGAAGAAGAGAAGAAAAGAAGAATGAGAAGAATGAAAAGATTCTTCTTCTTCTTCTTCTTTTCATTCTTTCTTCTTCTCAGAAGAAGAAGAAGATTCTTCTTTTCTTCTTCTTCTTTTCTTCTTTTCTTTTCTTCTTTCATTCTTCTTCTCATTTTTCATTCTTCTCATTCTTCTTCTCTTTCATTCTTTTTCATTCTTCTTTCATTCTTTTTTCATTTCTTCTTCTTTTCATTCTTCTCATTCTTCTTTTTTCTTTTCTTCTTCTTTTCTTTTCTTCTTTTCTCATTCTTCTTTTCATTTCTTCTTCATTCATTCTTCTTTTCATTCTTCTTTTCATTCTTCTTCTTCTTTTTTCTTCTTCTTTTTCTTCTTTTCTTTTCTTCTTCTTCTTTTCTTCTTTTCATTCTTCTTTCATTCTTCTTTCTTCTTTTCATGAAGAAGAAAAGAAGAATCTTCTTTGAAATTCTTGAAAAGAAGAAAGAAGAAGAATGAAAAGAAGAATGAGAAGAAGAATGAAAAGAAGAATGAAAGAAGAAGAATGAAAAAAGAAAGAAGAAGAATGAAGAAGAGAAGAATGAAAAGAAGAAGAAGAAGAAAAGAAAGATGAGAAGAAGAAGAAGAAGAAAAGAAAAAGAAGAATGAAAAGAAGAATGAAAAGAAGAAGAAGAAGAAGAAGAAAAAGAAAGAAAAGAAGAAGAAGAAGAAGAAAGAAGAAGA